TTAACTCACAGTGTAAATATTTTGACTTGTATGATACTGGAGAATAATCGGAGTATGGACTTCAGTCTGATATTACTTATAATAAGATGATGTATGGTGACATATTGAGCCAGCATGAACTCATGGTTTGGTTGCCAATTCAACTACTATTATTATTATTAAGAAAATGGATTTGTGTGATTGAATACAGGGATCGTGTTCACCAGTGCCCTGGAAGTGCTCTGAAGACTATTTCTCATATCTAATACGGAGTAGAGATCCTCTTAAATTAGGGTTTGACTTTATGCTTCTTTTTTCATTCCAATGCTTTTTGTTCACAAATGATTGAGCCTCAATTGTTTTTCACCTCTTCACTTCCTCTCATAAATATTCTACAGGTTCCCAAATGTTTGGGCTCTGCGTCTAGTACGTGACTTATTACGTTGGGATCCGGTAAGTTATACTAGTAAGAAATTTAGTTTCCTATGGACTTTAGAGAAAGCATCTACTCCTAGGAAATATTTGCAAAATTACTTCTATAAAGGTTTTTTGCCTAGGCACAAAAACTCCTATTATGTTCCGTAATACAACACCACCTCCTTCAAGTTGTTAGTCTAACTTGTAAAAGTGAATCAAATGTGAAACTACTGTTTTTTAGGCTAAATTTCAGCAATAATTACCTCAATCAAAGTTTAGTTTCTCTCTCTGGAGTGAGACAACACAACTTGGTGCATTCTAATTATCGGCTCGATTGCTAGTATTAACATTTTTATGGATCGATGTGGATCAGGAGGACCGACTTGACGTTGATGAAGCATTAAGACATCCTTATTTTCAGCAAACTTAAGAGTCAACAGATATGATTCTGATGAACTTCGTATCTCGCGAGAATGAGCAATATACCTTAATTTTAATCAGTATTCCTTCTCCCACAGCTCAGGAGAGCAACCAATCACAAGTTATGCGAATCACACACACGTATGTTATATATTACCATGTGACCAGGTTGAAAAGGAAAATCAAAACAAGCAGCGGCGAATTACATTTTCATTTGGTGGGGCCCCATTTCCGAAGCTTAACGTGTGATCTGAATAGTATTTCAGTCAGTTGAGGCCATTTTCAAATCCGAGCACATCTTCACGATCACCATGGTGTGCCATTCCAGTATGCAGGTTTATGTTTCAACTTATTTGCATGTATTAAACGATATTTAAGTCATTATTTCGAAATCTGCATCACAATATTGAATTTGTGTGCACAGAATTTTCTCTCTCTTTTTTTTTAACAAAAAAAGAAAACTTTTGCTCCATTATTTTCCGTTTTGATGTTTAAAGAAATGGAGGAGGAAAACAAAAAATCTGAGCGATTTTTTTTATCCTTTAGATGTGTAGTCTTTTGGACCACTAACTGTGAAAGAATGTTGAGGTATTCGTTATTCGTCTGATTGGGTGTAAGAATTCAACTTGTGATCCTAAAAAAATCTTATCTTGCAAGAATATGTTGATGAAAAAGTAGACTACAGACACCACTGTAATGATCAACTTTTTGACTTCCAAGTTTCCACTTTACACAGGAGAGAAAAAAGAGTATATTGCATCTTTAGTCCGATATGTTTCACTATCCTAATTTTTTTGTCCTCTTCGAATTGCGTTTTCTATTTTCATCCGGTATGTTTGCAAAAAAATTACAAAAAGGTCCTTTTCATACATAAGGGACGAAATTGGAACTTTCTTTTGTTTTTGCAAAACATAAAAGACCTTTTTGCTGCGAAAAAGACATTTTTGTAACCTTTTGTAAACATATGGGACGAAAATAAAAAATGCAATTCGAAGAGGACGAAAATGTTATGGTAGTTAAACATACAAGATTAAAAATGCATTTTACTCGAGAGAAAAACTCAAACAATTTGTTCAATTTTGTCAGGTTTTGGTTCATTTCTCTATTTGTTAAACAAAAAATCTTAATGAGATTTTATTGGCATTATTTACAGCATAATAGCTTCAGTTTCACACATTGCCCACTCTTTAATCATTTCTGATATTACTGGTGATATTTTTCTTCTGGATGGCTTGGATGGCTTAATTTTTACTTCATTGTATTTGACATAATAAAATCAAATGTGATTGGCATCTTTTTGCCTTAGGTAATTTTTATTTATTTATTATGCACTGATTTTTATTTTTTATTTTTTGCCTGAACCTATTTGTAAATGGCTGGGACCTAACCATTCGATCGACATACTTTTCTCACAAATATGTATACTTTCATCTGAAATCTCGTACTTTTATAAAACAACATAAAGAAAAGTACGACAATTGATATCATAATATATGTATTTTTGTTCACATAGTATGACGGGTCAACTCGTTTGACCGTAATGTAGCTTCACACAATAATTTGTGATATGTAGAAATATTAACTATGTATTAATTTGTGGTAATTAAAGTTTACGAGGGTATTTATTAGGGTCACTTCGAGTTTTATAAGGACATTGGCAATTGCTATGTCCTTGTTATTAGATTGATTGATTAATGATCATGTTTGTAATTTGTTTTGTTATTGTAAGAGATATTATCTTACGGGTAAAAGCATTGCTCTGATTTTTTACTTCAATTATAATATAATTTAGCGCATTGCAAACTGTACGGAACAACAATTATAAATGTAATTTTTTTTTTTTTTTTTTTTTTTTGTATCATTTGAAAATTCATTTGGATTTATAAATATAATCATTATATATTACATAGTTCAATTTTATTAGTATATACAATTTATTTTATTACATGTTTCTTACACACAATTTTATTTTATTAGTACACATGCTTGTATATATAGGTTAATTTACTCAATATAGATTGTTGTTGATAATTATTATTATATATAGCTTTTATTTTCCAAAAAAAAAACAAAATGGTAAAAAAATTGTGAATTCAAATATCAAATCTAATTGAATAAAAAAATACTGGAATTTGATTTGTAGATGAATATGAATAAAAAAATTAGTTAAGTTTTATGAATTCAATTTCAAATCCTTTATCTTAGTAGTTAGATTCGATTTTGCTTACAACTCTACCACAAAAATTTTGATTTATTTGTGTTGGAATATCACTTGTAAGTTGTCTCAAATCGTTTATATAGGGAAAATATGCATAATTTATAATTATAAGTTTAATTAGTTATTCATTCTTCCACCAATTAGTTTTGAGATCGAACTTATTTGGGTTTTATCTGAGTTTTTTCTGTTGAGGTGCGCTTCACGTTGGACCGCACTCGTTTTCTCCCGTTTCTTACAATCTGTAAGTCTAGTCAAATATCGAGTATGGATCAAAATTCCATTAAAATTGACTACTGAACTCTAATATTGAACCTACAAAACAAGAGTTGATACAGTAACAAATGAATAATAATTATTATTATTGTAATATAATTGGGTGAATCATTGGCATCCTTTTTTAAATTAATTTAATTTCCTTATGCCAAAAAATTAAAATAAGCGTTGAAAAACTTTGCATATGTTTGTCATCTTGGCTACGACTTGTCCTTCAGATCGTTCCCCACCATTCAATGTGCTTAGCTTTAATTCTGTCTGTCCTTAAAAAAAAAAAATAAT